CCCGCAATCTCCCGCTTCGTAGGCGGATGCCTTATCCATTGGGCCACGGGGACGCTACTGACCACTCAACCTCCTCCCACAGCCACAACGTTGGGAAAAACATAGCCACACACAAAAGACATCGATTACGCTACTCATACACGCGCTACCACACACACGGGAGCCCTCACGGACTCTGAAGCATACTCACACTCATCTGGGCTGTCCACCGCTGCTTGGCGGCAGGCCAGCAAAGCTCGACTTTCTACCTGCTCACAGTGGACGACTGACGAAGCTGTCTACGTCGGGGCAGGTAGTCGTGGACGGCTCGTCAACAGCCAAGGCTGTGCTCACGCTGGCGGGCAGTTTAGATATGTGATTCGCTGTAAGCGGTAGTGGTGGACGTCCTCGCATCACAGCCTGCGAGCGGGCGACCCATATCGCTACAAGAACCACAGGTATTGATGGGCGGCAGACCAAAATCAACAGACGAAGTAAGCGTGGAGACCATGTTGCCGACGGATTGCAGAGCTAAAAGTTTACGTGAAGTACAGGGTGCGTTGATGAGCATAGCGACATCATCCGGACGGGTCCCTTTCAGTTTGGGGGCGCACTGCAATAGTTAAAGCGAGTGTCAGAGCGGCATGAATCGCTACAGCCCGTAGAAGGCAAAACGGATGAATCATGGCAAGAGAATCTGAAGTGTGCAAAAGAGAAGTCTCCGACGGGACTCGAACCCGCAATCTCCCGCTTCGTAGGCGGATGCCTTATCCATTGGGCCACGGGGACGCTTCTGACCACTCAACCTCCTCCCACAGCGACAACGTTGGGAAAAACACAGCCACACACAAAAGGCATCGATTACGCTACTCATACACGCGCTATCACACACACGGGAGCCCTCACGGACTCGGAAGCATACTCACACTCATCTGGGCTGTCCACCGCTGCTTGGCGGCAGGCCAGCAAAGCTCGACTTTCTACCTTGCTCACAGTGGACGACTGACGAAGCTGTCTACGTCGGGGCAGGTAGTCGTGGACGGCTCGTCAACAGCCAAGGCTGTGCTCACGCTGGCGGGCAGTTTAGATATGTGATTCGCTGTAAGCGGTAGTGGTGGACGTCCTCGCATCACAGCCTGCGAGCGGGCGACCCATATCGCTACAAGAACCACAGGAATTGATGGGCGGCAGACCAAAATCAACAGACGAAGTAAGCGTGGAGACCATGTTGCCGACGGATTGCAGAGCTAAAAGTTTACGTGAAGTACAGGGTGAGTTGATGAGCATAGCGACATCATCCGGGACGGGTCCCTTTCAGTTTGGGGGCGCACTGCAATAGTTAAAGCGAGTGTCAGAGCGGCATGAATCGCTACAGCCCGTAGAAGGCAAAACGGATGAATCATGGCAAGAGAATCTGAAGTGCGTAAAAGAGAAGTCTCCGACGGGACTCGAACCCGCAATCTCCCGCTTCGTAGGCGGATGCCTTATCCATTGGGCCACGGGGACGCTTCTGACCACTCAACCTCCTCCCACAGCGACAACGTTGGGAAAAACACAGCCACACACAAAAGACATCGATTACGCTACTCATACACGCGCTACCACACACACGGGAGCCCTCACGGACTCTGAAGCATACTCACCCTCATCTGGGCTGTCCACCGCTGCTTGGCGGCAGGTCAGCAAAGCTCGACTTTCTATTTGCTCACAGTGGACGACTGACGAAGCTGTCTACGTCGGGGCAGGTAGTCGTGGACGGCTCGTCAACAGCCAAGGCTGTGCTCACTCTGGCGAACAGTTTAGATATGTGATTCGCTGTAAGCGGTAGTGGTGGACGTCCTCGCAGCACAGCCTGCGAGCGGGCGACCCATATCGCTACAAGAACCACAGGAATTGATGGGCGGCAGACCAAAATCAACAGACGAAGTAAGCGTGGAGACCATGTTGCCGACGGATTGCAGAGCTAAAAGTTTACGTGAAGTACAGGGTGCGTTGATGAGCATAGCGACATCATCCGGACGGGTCCCTTTCAGTTTGGGGGCGCACTGCAATAGTTAAAGCGAGTGTCAGAGCGGCATGAATCGCTACAGCCCGTAGAAGGCAAAACGGATGAATCATGGGCAAGAGAATCTGAAGTGTGCAAAAGAGAAGTCTCCGACGGGACTCGAACCCGCAATCTCCCGCTTCGTAGGCGGATGCCTTATCCATTGGGCCACGGGGACGCTTCTGACCACTCAACATCCTCCCACAGCGACAACGTTGGGAAAAACACAGCCACACACAAAAGACATCGATTACGCTACTCATACACGCGCTACCACACACACGGGAGCCCTCACGGACTCGGAAGCATACTCACACTCATCTGGGCTGTCCACCGCTGCTTGGCGGCAGGCCAGCAAAGCTCGACTTTCTACCTGCTCACAGTGGACGACTGACGAAGCTGTCTACGTCGGGGCAGGTAGTCGTGGACGGCTCGTCAACAGCCAAGGCTGTGCTCACGCTGGCGGGCAGTTTAGATATGTGATTCGCTGTAAGCGGTAGTGGTGGACGTCCTCGCATCACAGCCTGCGAGCGGGCGACCCATATCGCTACAAGAACCACAGGTATTGATGGGCGGCAGACCAAAATCAACAGACGAAGTAAGCGTGGAGACCATGTTGCCGACGGATTGCAGAGCTAAAAGTTTACGTGAAGTACAGGGTGCGTTGATGAGCATAGCGACATCATCCGGACGGGTCCCTTTCAGTTTGGGGGCGCACTGCAATAGTTAAAGCGAGTGTCAGAGCGGCATGAATCGCTACAGCCCGTAGAAGGCAAAACGGATGAATCATGGCAAGAGAATCTGAAGTGTGCAAAAGAGAAGTCTCCGACGGGACTCGAACCCGCAATCTCCCGCTTCGTAGGCGGATGCCTTATCCATTGGGCCACGGGGACGCTTCTGACCACTCAACCTCCTCCCACAGCGACAACGTTGGGAAAAACACAGCCACACACAAAAGACATCGATTACGCTACTCATACACGCGCTATCACACACACGGGAGACCTCACGGACTCGGAAGCATACTCACACTCATCTGGGCTGTCCACCGCTGCTTGGCGGCAGGCCAGCAAAGCTCGACTTTCTACCTGCTCACAGTGGACGACTGACGAAGCTGTCTACGTCGGGGCAGGTAGTCGTGGACGGCTCGTCAACAGCCAAGGCTGTGCTCACGCTGGCGGGCAGTTTAGATATGTGATTCGCTGTAAGCGGTAGTGGTGGACGTCCCCGCAGCACAGCCTGCGAGCGGGCGACCCATATCGCTACAAGAACCACAGGTATTGATGGGCGGCAGACCAAAATCAACAGACGAAGTAAGCGTGGAGACCATGTTGCCGACGGATTGCAGAGCTAAAAGTTTACGTGAAGTACAGGGTGCGTTGATGAGCATAGCGACATCATCCGGACGGGTCCCTTTCAGTTTGGGGGCGCACTGCAATAGTTAAAGCGAGTGTCAGAGCGGCATGAATCGCTACAGCCCGTAGAAGGCAAAACGGATGAATCATGGCAAGAGAATCTGAAGTGTGCAAAAGAGAAGTCTCCGACGGGACTCGAACCCGCAATCTCCCGCTTCGTAGGCGGATGCCTTATCCATTGGGCCACGGGGACGCTTCTGACCACTCAACCTCCTCCCACAGCGACAACGTTGGGAAAAACACAGCCACACACAAAAGACATCGATTACGCTACTCATACACGCGCTACCACACACACGGGAGCCCTCACGGACTCGGAAGCATACTCACACTCATCTGGGCTGTCCACCGCTGCTTGGCGGCAGGCCAGCAAAGCTCGACTTTCTACCTGCTCACAGTGGACGACTGACGAAGCTGTCTACGTCGGGGCAGGTAGTCGTGGACGGCTCGTCAACAGCCAAGGCTGTGCTCACGCTGGCGGGCAGTTTAGATATGTGATTCGCTGTAAGCGGTAGTGGTGGACGTCCCCGCATCACAGCCTGCGAGCGGGCGACCCATATCGCTACAAGAACCACAGGTATTGATGGGCGGCAGACCAAAATCAACAGACGAAGTAAGCGTGGAGACCATGTTGCCGACGGATTGCAGAGCTAAAAGTTTACGTGAAGTACAGGGTGCGTTGATGAGCATAGCGACATCATCCGGACGGGTCCCTTTCAGTTTGGGGGCGCACTGCAATAGTTAAAGCGAGTGTCAGAGCGGCATGAATCGCTACAGCCCGTAGAAGGCAAAACGGATGAATCATGGCAAGAGAATCTGAAGTGTGCAAAAGAGAAGTCTCCGACGGGACTCGAACCCGCAATCTCCCGCTTCGTAGGCGGATGCCTTATCCATTGGGCCACGGGGACGCTTCTGACCACTCAACCTCCTCCCACAGCGACAACGTTGGGAAAAACACAGCCACACACAAAAGACATCGATTACGCTACTCATACACGCGCTACCACACACACGGGAGCCCTCACGGACTCGGAAGCATACTCACACTCATCTGGGCTGTCCACCGCTGCTTGGCGGCAGGCCAGCAAAGCTCGACTTTCTACCTGCTCACAGTGGACGACTGACGAAGCTGTCTACGTCGGGGCAGGTAGTCGTGGACGGCTCGTCAACAGCCAAGGCTGTGCTCACGCTGGCGGGCAGTTTAGATATGTGATTCGCTGTAAGCGGTAGTGGTGGACGTCCTCGCATCACAGCCTGCGAGCGGGCGACCCCATATCGCTACAAGGACCACAGGTATTGATGGGCCGGCAGACCAAAATCAACAGACGAAGTAAGCGTGGAGACCATGTTGGCGACGGATTGCAGAGCTAAAAAGTTTACGTGAAGTACAGGGTGCGGTGGATGAGCATAGCGACATCATCCGGGACGGGGTCCCTTTCAGTTGGGGGGCGCACTGCAAATAGTTTAAAGCGAGTGTCAGAGGCGGCATGAATCGCTACAGCCCGTAGAAGAGCAAAACGGATGAATTCATGGCAAGAGAATCTGAAGTGTGCAAAAAGAGAAGTCTCCGACGGGACTCGAACCCCGCAATCTCCCGCTTCGTAGGCGGATGCCCTTATCCATTAGGGCCACGGGGACGCTTCTGACCACTCAACCTCCTCCCACAGCGACAACGTTGGGAAAAAACACAAGCCCACACACTAAAGGGCATCGGATTACGGCTACTCTTCCACGCGTTTACCACAACACACGGGAAGCCCTTCACGGACTCGGAAGCAATACTCACACTCATCTGGGGCTGTCCACCGCTGCTTGGGCGGCAGGGCCAGCAAAGCTCGACTTTCTACCTGCTCACAGTGGACGACTGACGAAAGCTGTCTACGTCGGGGCAGGTAGTCGTGGACGGCTCGTCAAACAGCCAAGGCTGTGCTCACGCTGGCGGGGCAGTTTAGATATGTGATTCGCTGTAAGCGGTAGTGGTGGACGTCCTCGCATCACAGCCTGCGAGCGGGCGACCCATATCGCTACAAGAACCACAGGTATTGATGGGCGGCAGACCAAAATCAACAGACGAAGTAAGCGTGGAGACCATGTTGCCGACGGATTGCAGAGCTAAAAGTTTACGTGAAGTACAGGGTGCGTTGATGAGCATAGCGACATCATCCGGACGGGTCCCTTTCAGTTTGGGGGCGCACTGCAATAGTTAAAGCGAGTGTCAGAGCGGCATGAATCGCTACAGCCCGTAGAAGGCAAAACGGATGAATCATGGCAAGAGAATCTGAAGTGTGCAAAAGAGAAGTCTCCGACGGGACTCGAACCCGCAATCTCCCGCTTCGTAGGCGGATGCCTTATCCATTGGGCCACGGGGACGCTTCTGACCACTCAACATCCTCCCACAGCGACAGCGTTGGGAAAAACACAGCCACACACAAAAGGCATCGATTACGCTACTCATACACGCGCTACCACACACACGGGAGCCCTCACGGACTCGGAAGCATACTCACACTCATCTGGGCTGTCCACCGCTGCTTGGCGGCAGGCCAGCAAAGCTCGACTTTCTACCTGCTCACAGTGGACGACTGACGAAGCTGTCTACGTCGGGGCAGGTAGTCGTGGACGGCTCGTCAACAGCCAAGGCTGTGCTCACGCTGGCGGGCAGTTTAGATATGTGATTCGCTGTAAGCGGTAGTGGTGGACGTCCTCGCATCACAGCCTGCGAGCGGGCGACCCATATCGCTACAAGAACCACAGGTATTGATGGGCGGCAGACCAAAATCAACAGACGAAGTAAGCGTGGAGACCATGTTGCCGACGGATTGCAGAGCTAAAAGTTTACGTGAAGTACAGGGTGCGTTGATGAGCATAGCGACATCATCCGGACGGGTCCCTTTCAGTTTGGGGGCGCACTGCAATAGTTAAAGCGAGTGTCAGAGCGGCATGAATCGCTACAGCCCGTAGAAGGCAAAACGGATGAATCATGGCAAGAGAATCTGAAGTGTGCAAAAGAGAAGTCTCCGACGGGACTCGAACCCGCAATCTCCCGCTTCGTAGGCGGATGCCTTATCCATTGGGCCACGGGGACGCTTCTGACCACTCAACCTCCTCCCACAGCGACAACGTTGGGAAAAACATAGCCACACACAAAAGACATCGATTACGCTACTCATACACGCGCTACCACACACACGGGAGCCCTCACGGACTCTGAAGCATACTCACCCTCATCTGGGCTGTCCACCGCTGCTTGGCGGCAGGTCAGCAAAGCTCGACTTTCTATTTGCTCACAGTGGACGACTGACGAAGCTGTCTACGTCGGGGCAGGTAGTCGTGGACGGCTCGTCAACAGCCAAGGCTGTGCTCACGCTGGCGGGCAGTTTAGATATGTGATTCGCTGTAAGCGGTAGTGGTGGACGTCCTCGCAGCACAGCCTGCGAGCGGGCGACCCATATCGCTACAAGAACCACAGGAATTGATGGGCGGCAGACTAAATCAACAGACGAAGTAAGCGTGGAGACCATGTTGCCGACGGATTGCAGAGTTAAAACCTTACGTGAAGTACAGGGTGCGTTGATGAGCATAGCGACATCATCCGGACGGGTCCCTTTCAGTTTGGGGGCGCACTGCAATAGTTAAAGCGAGTGTCAGAGCGGCATGAATCGCTACAGCCCGTAGAAGCCAAAACGGATGAATCATGGCAAGAGAATCTGAAGTGTGCAAAAGAGAAGTCTCCGACGGGACTCGAACCCGCAATTTCCCGCTTCGTAGGCGGATGCCTTATCCATTGGGCCACGGGGACGCTTCTGACCACTCAACCTCCTCCCACAGCGACAACGTTGGGAAAAACACAGCCACACACAAAAGACATCGATTACGCTACTCATACACGCGCTATCACACACACGGGAGCCCTCACGGACTCGGAAGCATACTCACACTCATCTGGGCTGTCCACCGCTGCTTGGCGGCAGGCCAGCAAAGCTCGACTTTCTACCTGCTCACAGTGGACGACTGACGAAGCTGTCTACGTCGGGGCAGGTAGTCGTGGACGGCTCGTCAACAGCCAAGGCTGTGCTCACGCTGGCGGGCAGTTTAGATATGTGATTCGCTGTAAGCGGTAGTGGTGGACGTCCCCGCAGCACAGCCTGCGAGCGGGCGACCCATATCGCTACAAGAACCACAGGTATTGATGGGCGGCAGACCAAAATCAACAGACGAAGTAGCGTGGAGACCATGTTGCCGACGGATTGCAGAGCTAAAAGTTTACGTGAAGTACAGGGTGAGTTGATGAGCATAGCGACATCATCCGGACGGGTCCCTTTCAGTTTGGGGCGCACTGCAATAGTTAAAGCGAGTGTCAGAGCGGCATGAATCGCTACAGCCCGTAGAAGGCAAAACGGATGAATCATGGCAAGAGAATCTGAAGTGCGTAAAAGAGAAGTCTCCGACGGGACTCGAACCCGCAATCTCCCGCTTCGTAGGCGGATGCCTTATCCATTGGGCCACGGGGACGCTTCTGACCACTCAACCTCCTCCCACAGCGACAACGTTGGGAAAAACACAGCCACACACAAAAGACATCGATTACGCTACTCATACACGCGCTACCACACACACGGGAGCCCTCACGGACTCTGAAGCATACTCACACTCATCTAGACTGTCCACCGCTGCTTGGCGGCAGGCTAGCAAAGCTCGACTTTCTACCTGCTCACAGTGGACGACTGACGAAGCTGTCTACGTCGGGGCAGGTAGTCGTGGACGGCTCGTCAACAGCCAAGGCTGTGCTCACGCTGGCGGGCAGTTTAGATATGTGATTTCGCTGTAAGCGGTAGTGGTGGGACGTCCCCGCAGCACAGCCTGCGAGCGGGCGACCCATATCGCTACAAGAACCACAGGTATTGATGGGCGGCAGACCAAAATCAACAGACGAAGTAAGCGTGGAGACCATGTTGCCGACGGATTGCAGAGCTAAAAGTTTACGTGAAGTACAGGGTGCGTTGATGAGCATAGCGACATCATCCGGACGGGTCCCTTTCAGTTTGGGGGCGCACTGCAATAGTTAAAGCGAGTGTCAGAGCGGCATGAATCGCTACAGCCCGTAGAAGGCAAAACGGATGAATCATGGCAAGAGAATCTGAAGTGTGCAAAAGAGAAGTCTCCGACGGGACTCGAACCCGCAATCTCCCGCTTCGTAGGCGGATGCCTTATCCATTGGGCCACGGGGACGCTTCTGACCACTCAACCTCCTCCCACAGCGACAACGTTGGGAAAAACACAGCCACACACAAAAGACATCGATTACGCTACTCATACACGCGCTATCACACACACGGGAGCCCTCACGGACTCGGAAGCATACTCACACTCATCTGGGCTGTCCACCGCTGCTTGGCGGCAGGCCAGCAAAGCTCGACTTTCTACCTGCTCACAGTGGACGACTGACGAAGCTGTCTACGTCGGGGCAGGTAGTCGTGGACGGCTCGTCAATAGCCAAGGCTGTGTTCACGCTGGCGGGCAGTTTAGATATGTGATTCGCTGTAAGCGGTAGTGGTGGACGTCCTCGCAGCACAGCCTGCGAGCGGGCGACCCATATCGCTACAAGAACCACAGGTATTGATGGGCGGCAGACCAAAATCAACAGACGAAGTAAGCGTGGAGACCATGTTGCCGACGGATTGCAGAGCTAAAAGTTTACGTGAAGTACAGGGTGCGTTGATGAGCATAGCGACATCATCCGGACGGGTCCCTTTCAGTTTGGGGGCGCACTGCAATAGTTAAAGCGAGTGTCAGAGCGGCATGAATCGCTACAGCCCGTAGAAGGCAAAACGGATGAATCATGGCAAGAGAATCTGAAGTGTGCAAAAGAGAAGTCTCCGACGGGACTCGAACCCGCAATCTCCCGCTTCGTAGGCGGATGCCTTATCCATTGGGCCACGGGGACGCTTCTGACCACTCAACCTCCTCCCACAGCGACAACGTTGGGAAAAACACAGCCACACACAAAAGGCATCGATTACGCTACTCATACACGCGCTACCACACACACGGGAGCCCTCACGGACTCGGAAGCATACTCACACTCATCTGGGCTGTCCACCGCTGCTTGGCGGCAGGCCAGCAAAGCTCGACTTTCTACCTGCTCACAGTGGACGACTGACGAAGCTGTCTACGTCGGGGCAGGTAGTCGTGGACGGCTCGTCAACAGCCAAGGCTGTGCTCATGCTGGCGAACAGTTTAGATGTGTGATTCGCTGTAAGCGGTAGTGGTGTGCGTCCTCGCATCACATCACATAGACGAGCGGGCGACCCATATCGCTACAAGAACCACAGGTATTGATGGGCGGCAGACCAAAATCAACAGACGCGACATCGTCCCAACTGGGGAGAAGCTATCTTCCAACACCTGGGAAAGCATCTTTTGTCAGCGCTGTCCAGGTCGGTAATTGTAAATGGATCTTGCGCGCCATTGCGAGTCTAAAGAAAGAGAGAGAGCAAGGAGAACGCGCGGCTGAAGCTGACGCAAATCAAAATTATTAGCAGCGTCGGAGATCTGCGCTTAACAAAAAGGCAACTTTAAGATATCAAATGTACCAGCACTGCTTAATATTTTAGTGGCACAACCATCGCGCTGCGTCAGCAGAGCGTGCGAGCAGAGCGCAGAAGCCAAGAACCTACCCCGGCCATTCGGTCACCTCGATGCCGATCTGCATAACCTCCGCTAGCTTCAGCTGAACGAGGCATTTCAAGTCTGTGCACTCAATTAGAATCTGCATGTGTATGGATATTGTGCAGCTGTTCTGCTTTCAAGTGGTGTTATACATTTTGTGCAGCTGGTTGCTCGCTGCGGGGGCTAGCTATCTAGGTGAGAGCGGATGGGCAGTGTCGATAAAGCGCAGCCGACCCATTCAGTTCTCCAGCACGACGCGGTAGCGCACAGTGCCGTTGCGCACCATTTGGATGCCCTCGTTCACCTTGCTCATGGGAAGTTTCTGGATCACAGGGCGTACGTTCTTCTTGGACGCCACATCCAGCATGTCCTTGATGTCCTGGATGCTGCCGATGGCGCTGCCCTTAAAATTGAGGCCCTTGCCTACGAGCGGGAACGGCTTGAACTTGATCTCATCATTGGGCAGACCCACCATGATCACAGTACCGTGCACCGCCAGAAAGCTCAGGAACAGCGTGTAGGGCATGTTGTTGGCGTCGGCTGTGATCAGTAGAATGTCAACCGACTTGGCTGCGTCTGCCGCCTGCTTCTCGTCTGTGTACACGACGAACTCATCTGCACCGAGACGACGGATCTCCTGCTCCTTACTGGCTGAACGGGAGAAGGCCACCACTGCAGCGGCACCCATAGCCTTGGCGAACTGGATGCCCAGGTGGCCCAACCCTCCAACGCCCACGATACCAACGCGGTCACCAGGTTTGATACCAACCTCCTTGAACGGAGTGAACACGGTGGTGCCGGCGCACAACAGCGGTGCGGCCACGTCCGACGGATGTTGTCTGGGATCTTGAACGCGTACTCGTGCGTGACGCGAATGTAGTCTGCGTACCCGCCGTACGTGATTGCGTCGTCCGTCTTGCGGTATTTCGAGTTGTACGTGCCCACGTGGTGGCGGCAGTAGGCGTCCTTGCCGTTGGCGCATTCCTTGCACGGATCGTCCGGGAACTTGTTGAGGCAGGCCCACACTTGCGCACCGATACCCACACGGTCACCCACCTTCATGTTCTTCACTTGGTCGCCGGTTCACCGACGATCTCATGGCCGACCACACACGGATACATGGTCTGACTTCAGCCGCTGTCCATGGTGTGTAGATCGGAGCCACGGATGCCACAGTGCGAGATCTTGATCTCCACGTCCTCAGGGCCAAGAGGACGCGACTGGTACTCCCATGGCTTGGCTTCCTCGCCCGTGGCGAATGTGGCGTACGCGTGCACGGTCCTCGGGGCAGTCGACATGGCTTGTGCTGCAGTTGATGTTGGTTTTGTGATTGACTTGTCAAGTGTCGATCAAAATCGGAAATGGAAAAAGGTAGTCCGACTCGGAGTCCAAGCTAGTAGCACTGCTCTACCAGGGCAGGTATCATGCGTGGCTGGGCTCACCGTCGCATAGGAAGCGGTGGGTTTGGCTGAACACAGCTTTGGTTGCCCTGTCATGCCATGATCGTCTGCTTCAGCTTGGGTAACCAAATGGTTTACAGATGGAGTAACCCCTTGTCTTACAAACACCAAGTCATTT